GTGTGTGGGTGTGTGTGTGTGTGTGTGTGTGTGTGTGTGTGTGTGTGTGTGTGTGTATTTAGCATGCTGGAATGGGAGTTGCAGAGCAGGATTTGCTCTCTATGTAACATCAATCTGTTCATTTTCATTCATTTATATGTGGTGGGGTTCTTTAGCTTCTCTTGTCCAATCTCAAACTGTTTCCAGACCATATATAAACCCTTTAGTAAGTTCTAACTGTGTCCCAGGGTCTCCTCTAGTGAGACATAGCCAGAAAACCTCCAGGAGGCACCTGAATCAGATGACCGAACCACCTCAGCTGACTCCTCCTCATCAGATTCCTGTCACACGACCAGCCGTGCCTCCGATTTGCTTCTCTATACACAAACATTAAGTCTGACCTAAGAGAAGCAGTGTAGAGCAGATCATGACTTCTGTTTTCAGCTGATGGTGACTGTTGTAACACATTTCTCTGGATACTGTTGTTTTTAGGAATCATTGGCCACTGCCAACCAATAAATCATATCTGCAGGTTTATGAGGAGCACACAGTAAAAAGTGAGGTTACTGCATATCAGCGAGTACCAGCCCACTTTGAGCACGGGGTAGGGAGACCGGGGACAGTTGCAACACTTCTTGCATTTGACTCTGTTGCTCAGAGATGGTTTGAATTAGACAAACCAAATTTTAATACAATAAACTTACATCTGTCTGTTAATAGTCAAAACCATTTATAGATGATTAAAGCATGTACATTCTTCACAATTTGCATTTGAAAATGAAAAGTCGGATGTTGCAACTGACCCCAGGGCGAGGACAGTTGCAACGTTGTTTGGGGGTGGTTGCAACATATTAATAATACAATATATTTTACTGTTAATAAAACTTTTATTTTTATATTTATATTATTGCTAAATTAATAAAAACTGTAAGTTATAATGATATTACAGTGTTATTTATTTATTCTTTTTGATCAATTGACAAATACAGATTTGCCTTGATGAGTAGACCTTATATACAGATGACAAAGATTCAAATTGATATAAAACACATATTGTTTTTAGAGACAAGAATGATAGAACAATCTGTGGGACATTTTACTTTTGTTTCGCCTATTGTCACTGTACGCCTATTTTGCAAAATTTACATTGAAAGAAACTGAGATTTTAAAACCACTGTTGAAAACAAAAACTGCAGAAAATACATCTTAAACACTTTTGTGTTTTAAACTATAAAATTGTCATGAATACCCAATACCTTTTTAAGTGTAAACTTAATTTCAACATCTTAATATCATCTGTATGTGCTCTGTTTTTATACAGTTGTAACAACTGTTGCAACTGTCCCCCTTCCTGTCAGCCATGATAAAACCTCATGTGTTAGCTAAATAAGCTGATCTGGATACATGTTAACCATATTAGTTAAAAGTCAACATATCACTAATTTAAACCATATAGGTTTGAGCTGGATCACATAAACAGTGACAACAGTAGAACAAAAATAAAGCTGGGCAAAAAAATACTTTGGTACGGTACGTCAAAAACTGTTTTTTTTTTTTTTCAAATAAATCCTGGAGCAGTTTTTGAATTTGCTTACTTTTTCTTTGCAAGGTGCGATATCTAACTGAGCATGTACAGTGTGAGTGTCATCACTCTAGCTTGTTTCTGTTCAGAGAAAAATGACTTGTTGCAACTGTCCCTTGTTGTTACTGTACCCGGTCTCCCCTACACTGAATCCTAAAATACTGTATTTTTGAGTGTTGCTTTATAATTTTTGTATTTTTGATAGTCTTTTGTCTGTGCCATTTAAAGCTATGGAGAGAAACAATCTGATGAGGCTGGCTCACACGATCCCCTTCACTCCCGTTTCCATGTTTGGTAACTTTAATCAGATTTTCACCTTATTTCTTGTTTATAAGCGGTATCTGCTCCTGCACTTCACTGAGGGTTTCTTCATCGTCTTCAGGAGGCGAAGAGGTGAGCGTCTACTCTCTGGAGGACGCGTCCTCGGACACTGACCCTGAATCCAGTTCTGTCTCCTCCTGGTCTTCCCGAGGCTACACGGCCATGCTGCAGCTGCTGTCCAGCGAGGAGGGTTCTCTGGATGGGGGTCTCCGGCAAGGCTGCCGGGTGTTATGTACCTGGGCAGAGCAGGAGGTGCTAAAGCCTGGAATGGTATACGTGGTGAAAGCTTTTAAGGCCGAGGTGGTTCGCGCTTGGCAGAGATATTTCCATGGGAGCACTGCGCTGCAGCTGTGTTTAAGGGTAAGACTTTTAAAACAATTCAAAGTGGAGTCGAGCAAGAATCACTGATTAAATCATATTTTCTCAAAGTTAGTTTCACGACTGTTTAGCAAAGCTTCACCCTAAAGGAATTTTTTTAAGTGGGCTCATGTAGAGTACTTTTGAAAAGTGAATGATTTTAGTTTAAAGAATCATGTAGACACCTTCATTTTGTAGTAAAGGTACTCAGAACTGATCCATATGAGTATTTTTTTTGTACTAAAAACAACTCAAACTTATTTGCAATTTAACCACTTTCTATATTATATTTTTTTCTCCTGTTAAATACTATTTTCTCAGCTAGAGAACAATATCACAAATTATTCATTTTGTTTTAAATCAGCTGATATTTTGGGATGGAATTTTTTATAAACTAAAGCCCGGCAGACATACTGTAGTTTGGGAACCACTGCTCTAATTTTCCTTCTCTGAATATTCTGGATTTTACAAATTTTCTTTCATTTCATCATAATAATGCATTTACTTTTCCTGTTGCTAATATGTTCTGGGGTTTAAATGAAGGAGTCACTGGCAGTACAGAATTTGACACTGGCAAAGATGACAAGTTGTTAAAACATCTTACCATAATATTTATGAAGGCTGATGAGATATTTTTGAGTTTGAGTTGTTGTAAATGATGGAATTTTGCTCTTGAACGGATCTTGCTCTGATTAGTCTTTAGCTTGACTTCCCAGTGAAAATGTCAGTCTGATTGTCCAAGCTTTGATTGCTCACAGTGCTGCCTGTCGCAGGGAAAATACTCACTGCTCATTATTACTCCACACTACCCTGTAAAAACACAGAACTCTCAATCTTCTTGAACTTGAGTTTCTTTTACTAACTCAAACCCTTCACACTTTAACTGACATCCCAAAGGAGATCCAGCAGCAAAGAGCAGCTCAGAAAATGATGCAAGTGTTTAACCAGATCAAACCTGATGATATGCACCATTCACCAAGGTGTGTGTGTGTTTTATTCTTCAATGTCCACACTATGTGTAACACACTATCTGTGCATGTGATGACTTTGTCTTCCATCCACCAGATTTCTTGATGTATCGCTGGTTCTTTGGCACTCTAATGGTCAGTGGTTGACTATTGAGAGAAACTTGCCAGGCGTCTTCAGGAAATACAACAACAACACAGGAGAGGAGATCGCCCCCTGCTGTTCACTGGAGGAAATGTTGCTGGCATTCTCCCACTGGACCTATGAGTACTCCCGCAGAGAGCTTCTGCTGCTCGATATACAAGGCAAATAAATCTAACGTTCATGTGTTTTTGGCCTAATGTACATTTGTGTGAGAGTTATCTTTTTCTTTTTTGTTTATTTATTATTATTTTGTATTTGGCAGGAGTTGGGGCAGAGCTGACTGATCCAACGGTGGTTATGGGAGATGACCAAAGGTATAGCAACATCTAGTTTCACAAACTCCTCTGTTTTTTGCTTTTAGAGTCAAATTTTTCAACATAAGCTAAAGACAGACAGATAAAACAGTTTGTTTTGTTTAGTCTCACACTCACTCTTTCTTTCTGCAGTGGTGGCAGGAATGAGATGCTGTTTGGTCCTGATAACCTTGGAGATGCTGCCATCAACGGGTTCCTGCAGAAACACTCCTGCAACTTCTGCTGCCACAGACTGGGCTTAAAAGGTCAGAAATGCATGAAACAGGTGATTGTAATAAAGAGAAACAGTCTGGAAATGTGTTTTGGTGACGTGATTATTTAGAAATAATTATGTTGTCGACTAATTTTAAGGTTTAATTTAAGTGTGGACCTTTTTCTGTTGCTTTACACACACACACACACACACACACACACACACACACACACACACACACACACACACACACACACACACACACACACACACACACACACACACAAATAAGTAAATAAAGAAACGAGTATTTGTATGTCACCTCTATGTCGTCACTCAGGAGGCCTAACTTGGCTCTGAGAGAAATCCCCGACAACTTCAAATGAAGACAGCACGCACCAACAGCCAGCTAATTAAGCAGCGAGTCTTCGTTTATTTCTGTAACAACAGTTGTGTTTGAGGCATGGGGGTGGGCCCTGCTTTGTGCGTTGTGCTGCGCGGCCTTTGATTACGTATTAATCATGTCTTTGTGCTGGCAATGTGCTGCTGAGACATTAGCTTTGATTAGCTATTAATTAATGTCTCTGGGTAGACACGATACCGGCATCTAGAGGATAACTGTGCGGAAAGAAACTGTGCTCAAAAACAAACAAGCCCCAGCAAACAAACACACGAGTGCAAACACTCAGACACAGTTGTTTTGATATTTCAAAGGTGCGTTGTGTTTTCTCTTCCCTTTTCCTTGTGTCCTCTCCAAGATTCCTCTAACAAATCAAACCAAATTATTCATGCAGGATGCATGGCCTTCCTCCCAGACCTGTCAGTATTCTCTTTCTTGTGATAATGACTGTGTTATTGGAGTGACATGTCGCTAACTGATGTTTCTGTTGTTCAGATTTAAGGAGGCGTTTGGGCAGCTGTGAGAGCAGCGGTGAGGAAGAGTCGATGTCGGGGAAAGAAGAAGAAGAAGAAGATGATGATGAAGAAGAAGAAAAAGAAAAAGAAGGGGACAATTAAACCAGGATGCAACCTTTGACCAGGGAAGTACGAGAAAAAGAGCATATGTTTTTTTATAGAGATGTTTTTGTAAAATACTTGAAGTTATTTTGTGTTTACAGTGTAAACAAGGCGATAGGTTGATGTCTTTGTCATCTGAAAACTGACTTTAAAAGGTTATATTTACAGTAATTTCAACTGGTTTCTAATAAAGTCTAAAATTGAATAAAAATAAGGTTCTGTTAATTTTCAAAACGGAAAGGAAATATAAATGACAATTTTTGTATGTTTAGAGAATTATTTTGTATTTAATAAAATACAGATAAAACTAGGATGAAAATAAAAAGCATGTTTGTGATTCAGACAAAACCAGGCAGAAATTCACCCATAAAATTTCTTTTATTTTTTTCCTTCCCACAACAAAATGTCTACAAAAGCGATAAAATATAGAATTTAACAAAAAAAAAATCACTTCAGACCTTCACATTTTATGTACATCTCAAAAGAGGACTCGCTAAGACCTCTGAACTTCAGCCCAGTCTGATTCTTCAGCTCTGGGTGTTTTTTTTTTTTTTTTTTTACTCCCATTTAACACAAATGCATGTGTACACACACTCCTTTCTGCTTTTATGAACATTGAAATGCTACAGTGGATTCAAAGATGAGTTCAGAGTCCAGCAAAGTCCCCAACATTAAAAAAAGCATAAAATGTAAAAACAGTTTTTTCAGTGTAATCACTTAAACTTTTCCATGGAGTTCCCCTTTATTTCTTCATCTTTTAATGTAAACTCCCACAGTAAAGCATCTAAGCCTCTCTCTGCCAGTCCTTTTACTCCTCACTAACTATGGCACTTTGAAAACAAACAAAATGACTTATGTTTGTACTTTATTAAAATTGATCATCTTGTTAGTCCTGTGTAAAAGAGGTTCTGTAGCCCAAGTACCTTTTTTCATTTTTTTAGGTTCTGGATACAGATTGCTACATTTTGTTTCATTTGCTCTTGCTGGGAGGCAAAAACATTCCAAAATAACAAAACAAAACAAATAAATAAACTTTTTTTTCCCCAAAACTACTCCAATTGCACAGGTGTAATGCATCAAGAAAGATTACAAAGCATTGGTAGAGCAAACAACTCGCTGTTTGCTGTTTCTCTCTTACTCTCTCACTCACACACATACTCGCACAAAGTTTTCTTACAAAAGGGAGGAGGAGGTTTGTAGTGTGTGACTTGTGAGTATGAAGAGTGTTTCAGATCAGCTGTGGTAAAATGTCTGCACAACTCGTCATTGCAAATAAATAAGATTGTGCGTTCTGTGATGTCATTCTGTGTTGATGGAGCAGGAAAAAGGCGCATGATGCGTTCAGCCCCTACATGCTGAACAGGCTACTCCATAACATTCAGAATAGATTACCCCACCCGCATCACCCCGAGTCCCCCCACCCTTTAATAAAAGCAAAACAAACAAACAAACAAACAAAAAAAACAGCAGATAAAGGGTTTCCAACCCAGTTCAGTAAGGCCAGCTCAAAAGGGGTCCATCCATTGATTTATATCACTTCACACATTCATCAGGTGACAAATATCATTTAAAATTTAATGAAAATTTGAAATCAGTTCTGTATAAATTAGAGCATTAAAAAAAGTAAACGTTTGAAATATTTTTTTGAATGAGGTGATGTGGAATTTCCCCTAAACAATAACCTGCTGAACACTCCCCCCACCCCACCCCACCCTGTCGAAACCTACAACACCATGAGAGAAGGAAACGCAAAGAAGCCCCAAAATGTTTCACTGTAATGAAACGTCATGCAAATAGAACAGAACAACAATAGGCTAATAGTAAGAGAAGAATAGTAGTCATAAGAACAAGAATAATAATATTAATAAAATGAAAAAGAAAATAATAATAATAATAATCTTACAATGCAAACATGACAGTAGTAAATGCCTCCAGTTCTTATTGCTACAGTTATACTTACAGTATTGGCTGTCACTTATTCCCCCCCCCCTCCCCCACAACCCAGTTTCACCCACCTTTGATTCACAGTCTAATGAGGGAAGCAAAAATTAAAAATAAAAATCACATACAAAAACTTCCAACATTTAGAGTTAGAATTCACTGTCTCAGGCCTGATGGAACAGCGCTTCAGTTGTTTTGAGAGCTGCATATGTAGCTGTAAACATGAACCAAGAGTGAGACTCCATTCTTTTTGTTGTCTTTTATGGTGTAAAAATGTCTCTACAAAGATATATGGACAGTGAATTCATGCTCTACACACACACACACAGACACACACCCCGACAAACACACATTTCTATCAAAGCCTTGTCTGGGCAGATTACTTTGATGGCATACGTTAGCAGCATATGCACTTTAAATTCTAAAAAGTCATTCTTTTATAATTAAATTTCTTAGTAAATTTCCAAAAATATTAAACCCTCTTTTTTAATGAAAATTGAGAAAAAAAATCTGCTCCCTGAGAGATGCTATGTAGTGCATCAAGTCTTGAGCGAGTGATTGTCTTTAAGAGTCACCGGCCTCTGATCTGTGCTCGGGTCAGGGGATTCAAGGAAAGCTGCAGTACTTTGGAGGAACCAGTAACAGGACCAGACTGATGATTACTGAAGGTTAGCATTACCACATGTTATATAGTCGATGTGGGGGGAAAAAAAACATGAACAGATAAAAAGCAGTGTTAGAGTTCATATTTTCTCTGTTAACAAATTAGTCTGAGTATGTCCGTCCTCTGTAGAGAGGTGAAGATTTGGCCACTGTGCAAAGACATATTCAAACATAAAAAAAACCTTCAGAGGAGTTTTTAGTGCTTAGTAACACTAGGTCAGAGTCTAAACATCATGGCATTTAAAGATTGCGTAAAAGAGCTATGTAAGAGTTTAAAATGTTTAGAAAATTGCAAACTCACTGAATGCATCCATATCATGGCTGTATGCAGAAGCACCCAAAATGTATATCCTCTCTAAAAATTTCTTTCAGAATATTTTTTTTTGAAAAAGACAAAAACAACAAAAAAATCTGAGTGGATAAAGGTGCACTTAGCCCATTATGATTATTCTTTTTTTTAAACACAGATTCCAAATTAAAAACACTTTTAAGTGCTAACAAATACAGAATGGCTTCACACAAAATGTGATTGTCTAGCACAGCTTTCTGCATGATTAGCGTGTTTGTTTGGCTGTAAAATGGTATTTAAATCAGTGGAGGCTACACGACATTTCTTCACTTTTTTTTAGTGCTGTAATGTCTTACATCCTGACCTCAAACTGTGGCACACTGAGTTTGAAGTGGAAAGAATACCATTTGTCACAATGATTGTTAGACATCATTGATGATCAAGAACATAAAATAGTGCATTCTAGTTAGGATTTCTACCCTACTTTAAACAGCTATGAAACATGGGCAAGAGGTTGAAAAGAAGCAGTAAGATTAGCAACGTTTTTGTGAAAGTTATTTCTCTTTAGAGTACTGGTCCGACATATTTACAGCTTGGAGTGTCTGACATCCATGGACTCGATCGTGCAAACGGCAGGATGAGAGCATACCTTGCTCATATCGGTTAGAGTGATTAGAAAGTTATTTTAATTCAAGTTCGTATAGAAAATTTCACATTTTTTGGTGGATTATTTATACATATGTTCACTGACTTCTATCCATTTGTCTGCCAAAAGCATGTTGCAAAGGTCCTGATATACTGTATTTGAGATAAAGAGCCGAGTAAAGGGATGGAGGGAAGAGGTGTGGAGATCATCATGAGGTCCTGGTTTTGGATGAGTCCTTACAGGTTGATTGTTCGAAAGCAATCCAGCTATTATTGGACAGAATTATTGCAACGTGACACAAATGATTGATAGGACGGCAAATCTGCCAGATTTCTTTTTCTCGCAAAATAGACTATGTATGTATACATCTTCTCCTTGAAAAGTAGTAGCAATTATTTTCTTTTTAAATCCTTCATATCCTCTTTTTACATTTCTATAAGGTTCGACCAGAAGGATATAACTCCTTCTATACATATGAACAAAATCCAGACAAGGCTTCTGTATATCAACATACCCAAATTGTCGCCCAGGTTTTTTGCCCAATATTCATTTTACAAGTCGCAGCTTTACAAATTCTGTACACAAACTACCAAATAAAATAGAACACAGACAAGGTATAGTCACAGCCACGGTGGGCTGCTTTATATTTAAATTAGGAGGACTAACTTACTTTAAACAGAACAAGAAATAATACTGGAATCTGTTCTCCACTAGAAGAATATCTACAATAACTTCTCTAAATCCAGTTCAATCCCTTATCCAGCTCCTTCATTGTCACAAAGTCTTCATGTGAAAAAAAAGAACAAAACAATTTTTTTTCTAAGTTAAATCAAATTAACTTACCCACATTAAAAAAAAGTTTTGACAGCTCAAAATAGTCTCTAGCTGTTTTAAAATCTGTACATTTCTGGTCAGTCACTTCAGTTCAGGAACACATGGAAGCCCCTCTGAGGTTGTGGCCGGGGCATGCTCTTCATTTATATATACATTCTTCAGACTGTAGCGGTGAACAGGATGGGATAAGTGCAGGACATTCCTAGTGTTGTTGGCGGTAACGCAAGTTTCTAGTAGATGAATCCTCACCCACCGGTCTGAAACGAGCCTGGGGGCGGATCTCAAAAATACCTGGTTGCTACAATGACGCAGTCGACATGGTCACTGTTGTCTTGTCAGATGGAGCACACGTAAATTGATTGGTCCTCTTCGGTGGCTGTTTGGTGCGTTTGGACCACGGGCGGTCACTTGGGCATCACCATAGCAGAGTTTGGGTCAGGGTTAAAGAGTTCTTTGTAGAGGGGAGGGAAGAGGACGTTGACTGTTTCTGGATGGAGTTGCTGGAAGGCCTGAAGCTCCTCGGTATGGAGGGTGCACAGGGCAGACAGGGTTGGGATTCGGCTGATTAACTGCAAAACCAGATGAAAAGATGGTCAAAAATATGAGAATCTAGACTGAAAACCTACAAAAGTATTTTGTGCTTCTATTTATTATTCTTCTTTTACATATTTGAGCAATCTTTGAGGACAGAAAAAGCTTAATTTGGATGTTGTTGGACCTCAAAGCTAGGTCTAATATGTTCTTATAAAGGTTTTGCCAACCTTAGCCAGTGCATCTTCATCCATGTGGTTCTTCTGCATAATGTGCTGCAGGGCAAAGTAGATCTTCTCCTGGAGCTTCTGGACTTTTCGAGGCTCCATGAGCCAGGGCCGATCTGAGAATAAACGAGTGTAAAAAATAATTTCAGTGATAAAAGTTTGATGACTGCAGAGTTAGTCATATATCTAGTTTGGCTGTAAGTCCGCTTCACAACAAGGTATATTTGAAAGGATAAATTTATGTCAGTCCTAACATAATAGCAAGAGTAAATGTCATGCATGCACCAAAAGCCATGCTCATTTCCTGTTGTACATTTGTGTAAGTGGAAACACTGACCTGTAGAAATTAGTACAGCTGCTGAGAAGAGTGCAATCTCTTCCTCTGTTAGCTGCAGTGAACACATGCTCTTGGCAAAGTCAAACACTGCACTCACTAAGTCATCACAACCTTCAAAGGACACACACAAGTGCGAACAAAAATGTCATTACACTCATTTTAATCATGTACTAAGGTGATGAGCAAATGCTAGAATTGCCTATTTTTAGTATTGATTAGTATTTTAGATGAAACATATGAATACCAGTGTCTTACCTAGAGCTTTGAACATCTGCATGCCTCCGTACTTCCCCTCAAAAAGCACAGTGTTGTTGAGGGGGTTAAACGCCCTGCACATCCGCACCAAGACCACCTCCAAACAACCTGTCACAACCATTCAGACGTATCATGATGTGTTCATTGTGACACTATTATTATAACTAGAGTACAGCACCATCGTTTAGCTTGTGCTAAAACACAATTGATTTAGCTCTGACAGTAGAGCTCACCTGACTTGAGGAGGAGGATTTGGTCATTCTGGCACAGTTCCATGAACCCTGAGATGCGCTTGGCAAACTCCACCACGTACTGGATGGCATGAGTGATCTGGATGGCACACTGCTGCCACAGCACGTCCCGCGGCTGAAATCAAACACGACAGGTTTTGACAAACATGCTCCGTATTTAAGAAGTTACCGACATGTCACTAAAAAGTACTGGCTAAGTGTTCAAATGCAACATGACTTTGCAAACTGAAGCAAATGGATGTCAGCATTTGTTTTTAATTAAATTTGGATTAATTTTAGCTTTGAACCACTGCCAATATAGGACCTCTAAAGGTATCATAGGTAACACACACATTAGGTAACATCAACAATCCATGTCCATGCATGAAGGTGATGATGCAACCTGCAAACCTCACCTTGCTCTGGTACATCTTGACCTCTTCATATGAATGTGTCTGCCAGGCTAGCTGCTGCAGCTCCTCTGTTGTATACTGACATGTTTCCAGGTGTGACTTGATGATATTTTGAGCAATACGGTCTGAAAGAGAGACATTTTTTCTTTTTTTATAAACTAAGTGATGCTGAAGTAATATGCATGCTATGTTGCAGATGCTAAGAACATTTAAAAACAAAAAATTATGGATATTTTAGTCCTGTTTTCACCCTACTCTAACAGTTACTTAATTTTAACTAAATCTGTGCTATCTGTTGAAGGTGTGCAGATGATATGACATTGTCAGCTAACCATGTAAGCCTGTCTGATCTCCTGTTGTGCTTTCAGATTAGGACTGTGACTCACACTTTCTTCCAGAACTACTTTGTCCTTAATAATTAATCAAAAAGAATAACTTTTCCATATTTTAAGATGAACCATTCTATCATATTTAACGTATGAAGCGTTATTTACCTAGCTCTCCCATGCTGACATTGCTGGGTCCAAATTGACTGTCCTGGTAGCCTCCATAGCTGAACAGGTTGGGTACTGGCGTCAGGTCATAAACCGGCTCCTGCTTAATGTGCTTCATGCCGGACATGTCCAAACCCGACTGGTCTGGAGACGGCTGGGTGGAATCGATCCCATAGTATCCCCCTGGCACTCCTCCTCCATTGCCATGGCCCCCTTTGGGTAGGTCTATGACATGGCCATTGGCATAAGTGCCCCCAATTTCATGGTTGAGGGTGGACAGTCCGTTGGTTAGGCTGGATGAGTAAACGCGTGCCAGAGCTTCAGCTTCACCAGTCTGCTGCTGTCGCTGCTCCTGAAGTCGTGCCTGGTGCTTCTGGACCTCTGCATATAGGCTGTCGCGCTGCTTTTTGGACATTCGGCCAAACTTCACCGCTGTTTGGGCGGAAAAGAGCAAAAAATAGGGTGACAAATTTAGTGTTTTTTTTTTTTTAAATCAGCTTTAGCTAAAAAACCTGTAAATTTATTTTAGCAGAAGAGGTGAGTGACACTAGGAAATTTGGTATAGATCTGATACCGCATAAATACAGGGCCAGTATTGCAGATTCTAATATCAATTGTCACGTTCATTGAATAATTTTGCCTTCTACTACACACAACTGCTTAAAAAAATCACTTGTGCAAAAAAATGCAACAATGTAAGAAAAATACATATAACCATGTTGACAAAACAAAAATAACTTCCTTTGCACATGGGCATGATGAAGAATTTGAAGACTCTGCACTACTGACTGTGTTTTTTACATTTGAGACAAACGTAAACTAAAGAATTGATCTCACAGCTTGACATCACTTATACCAGTACCCATCTTGGTATTGTTAATATAAATACTAGGATACTCCCACCCCTATTTTGTGGGACAGTTAGAAGTAAAATGGTGCATACAGCTGATGTCCAATTGTACGTTGGATATTGTTTTTGGAAAAATTACAAAAAAAATATACATATATATGAAGGTAAACTGGGCCTCACCATCTCTGGACATTCCTAGGGCGAGACATTTCTGCAGGCGGCAGTGTTGGCAGCGGTTTCGGTTTGTTCTGTCGATGAGGCAGTTCCTCTGGCGGGGGCAGGAGTACGAGGCATTGTTTTGTTGACTCCGTCTGAAGAAACCCTGGATAAATGTCAACAGAAAAATACAGGCTTTAGATATGACAGGAGCTAAGACTCGGCATAAACTGAGTGCAGAATTTCTCAAGAAGTCTTACCTTACAGCCCTCACATGTAATGACTCCATAGTGGATGCCTGATGATTTGTCTCCGCAGATTTTGCATGGTATAACTTCGATTTGGGCTGCAAGCAAAGCAAAAATAAAAAAAGATTTTCAATAAAAAAAATTGCATTCTGAACTCAGCATAGACCTTTGCTCCCCATCTCCACTGTACACCTTCAGTCAGAGATGCTGAACCCCAGCTGAGGCTCTTAATTTGAAAAAGACAACCTGGTTGGCAGAAGTACCTGAATGAACTTACAGTTTGTCTGAGGACACAATTTCTCTGACCTCCAAAGTCACAAGGGCACAGTGACATGTAGAAATTTATTATGTCTTTGCAGGAGTTTTCCACTAACTGTGACACTCAGGGCTGCATAAGTGCACACGCTATGTGCACACAAACATGCACACTCTCAAGTAAATGAATAGATTGTGTGAGTGGATGCTTTGTGTTTTGCCTAAAGTAGAGACCCCTGCAGGTTAAAAGGCTTGTCCACAAAGAGAAAACCAGTTACATCACTGAAGGACCACTCTCTGTCTCTCTCTTTTTTTTAAGGTTCATTTTTTTAGTTTGCACAAACACATTTAGTTGTCCTACTACAACGCAGTCAAACTTTAGCTTTTTTTGTAATCTACATATTTGTACTAGTTTCACTACTTTTTCTTTGTCATATCTTACTCACTGTGCACAGGCAGCTCCATGTACAGACGCAACCAAAGGCACAGAATGTGATCAGAAACGATTTCAACACGCAGAAGCCCCCGTCATGGATATCTTGAGCATGTTATCCATAATGTATGAAAAGAGAGGCTTGGTTCCTACTAAGAGATGGATGTTCATGAATGTAGAGGTAGGCAGGTATGCTGCTGAGATGGCACAGTCTCTATAAAGAGATTAGACAGCCTAACTAATCCTAAATTATTTCCCGACGAGCTGGTTCCTTCTTCTGCTGAGCGCTGTGATATGCTGCATCTCCAGCAGCAGCTCACATGCAGTCACATTGCATAGTCCCACTTGTGGCAATTTCTGCATAATTTTATGAAATTTACAAAAAGTCCAGAAATTGGTGAAATCAACAAGCAGATCCACACTAATTGACTCCGCTTTAACTACCCTTTTCTGCTATGATATATTTGGCTATATACTGTATTTAAGTGAATATGAAGAATTTTAGCTTTGCGCACACATTTTGTCATGCATATATTGTGTGTTTATATTTAATTTAAACATGGTGGAATGAGTGTGCAGTATACATAACTGGATAATCTCTTACGAGGATCAGTGCAGGCACATGTACAGACTAGAATAGCATTCTCTATATAAGAGCAGACAACTCATGTAAATCTTCAACAATGAATAGGCACAAATATTTAAAAGATGAGTTTTATTTCATATTTTGAGACTTAATGCACATTTATTTACACTACTCTTCTGCTTATGCCAGCGGGTACATGTGAAACTGATTTGCAGTGAGACCTTTTTAGATGCAGTTTAAAAAACTATAGGATTGTGGAAACCTATTGTTTCCATAAACATTCACCCTTTAGTTGTTTATTATATTCATATATCTCTAAATTACTCATCGCCTCCCAGCCTGAGCTCTTTCTGCGTGGAGTTTGCACATTCTCCCTGTGCACAGGTGGGTTTTCTCCCACCTACCAAAACATGTATGTTTGATAAATGAATGGCTGTCTGCCTCTGTGTGGTCCTGTGATGGATGAACAACCTGTCCGAAGTGTCCTCCACCTCTCTCACAATGTCTGCTGGGAATAGCACCAGCTCCCCCATAACCAGAAATCAAAAAGTGGGTAAGATGGATAATTTTTTGTCATTGTCTTGGTTAATGACAATCTGGTCAAATTTTGATCTGGGTATGATGTCTTGATTCAGACAACAGGACACTGAATCTTTTTTTTTTGTACTTATAATAAAGCTTGTTGCTCTTAGTTTTGGTGATGTGACCCATTTCCACCAGTTCTTGGCCAACTGGATCTAAACTGGGTCAGAGCTGAGCTCTGGACTTGGACCATAAACAGACCTGTCAATGAACGTGGCCTGTAACACACTATTATTAGTCTGTAAATGGGTCAAACATGGCTGATGTCAACAGACCACATGTGAGCTGCAAACAGGAAGCTGAGCAGAATGAGTGATTTCCATCGTCCTCTCACTCTTTGTAGTTTCTTTTTGATTTTTAGTCAAACTCTTTGACTCAAATGTTAATCTGGAGCTAAATTAATCTTCATGGGTTCAAACACTTTGTATGCATTCAGCCCACACCTGCCACTGTTATTTGAATATACATAGTTTTAGTCATAATTTCTGTTGATTTGTCAAAAAAAAACCTTTACATTTCCCCACAGCGTGTCTTTACAGTTTCTGCTCTGCAATTTACATCATATCCTCACTGTGTTCCTTTTTTTACCCCATGGCAGATTATACTCCTCTTTGTATCACATAATTATGCCCAAACGAATATCACCGTGTGGGCATGTGCATTGTTTCTGTGTGTGTGTTTCAGAGTAAGCATTTCACTTGTAAAAAAATAAAAACAAAAAAAGACACGGGGAAAGATAACATAAATGTCCGTCTGAGTTTGACAAACTGTAAGTGAATGTTTATGGTGTGTGTGTGTGGGGGTGTGTGCATTGTTGTGTGTGTGTGTGTGTGTGTGCGTGTGTGCGTGTGTGTGTGTGTGTGTGTGTGTAGGTGTGTGCATGATGCTTTTAATCCTCCATTCAAAAACAAGATTTCTTGTCTTGGCATACCCCGTGTCATTTGGCGGAGGCACAAAAAGTTGTTTTGACAGAATTTATGTGATAAAAACCTAACCTGAGTGCTGATTTGTTTTTGTTTATTTTTTTTTTACAATCTTTAAGTGTTTCAGACAAACCCATGTGCAGCTTTGCTCTGAAGCAGTTCTTACTTTATATCCAGTGGCAGCAGCAGAGATTCTTGAGTCAATAACTCACTTTTTATTAGCACCAAAGGCAGAGCATTGATGTTTATGCCTCTCTCTTTTTCTGTGTGTGTAGTTGTTTTTACTACAGAGTGAGGACCATTTGCACCATAGTTACTATCAAAGTGAGGTATTTAATGTAAAATGAGGACCTCTTCAATGTTCCCACTTTGTCTGCAGCTCTGCTGTGCTTTGCTAGTTTGGTTTAGATGTATGGTGTGAGTTAAGTCTTGGTGCAGGTCAGTGTTAACTATAGACCAGTAATGGTTAGTTTTAGGGAAAACGTCTGGGTTAGGCATAAATACAGTTACAAAAATGAATGGAAGTCAATACAATGTCCTCAGTTTGATGCAAATATAGAAATATGTGCGTGTGTGTGTGTGTGTGTGTGTGTGTGTGTGTGTGTGTGTTGTGCTTATTGCCTGTGGTGACTGTCAGGTAGGATACAAAGAGACAGTCATGACAGCATTACTGTTGCCAGGGTGACCACCCACTCGCCGCACTCGTCTGGCTGTCACAGCAATGATGTGCTAAGCTGTCACACGCTTAAAGGAAGTGATGTCATCGGCGTGTAAAGCCAACCGATTGCCCCGGCGTACTCTCCCAGCAGCAGAGGCTTTGTGAAATGTTTACAAAAAAGACTCCTACATCCACGTCAAGTCGACAGAACGATGAACTTTGACTGCAGAGGTGGTTTCGACATGTAGCGGAATTAAGATGTTTGTTAGATTTAAAAGCAACCGAAAGATTAAATTAAATTGGAAAGCAAATTTGCAGCCTGAAAGTAATAAAAAACCTGATATAAAACATGTCTAATGCAGCTGTTCGCTTAACCTCTCTCCATGCAAATCCATATCTGGTGAGAACACGAGTAGGGAAAAAAGCTACAAGATTCTGTTGCCCTCTAGCTATTTGTTTTTTATGGGTGGTTTGCCGGTACGACTCCTCCGACCTGAGTCGACCCAGTCAGAGCAGAGTGACTGACAGCATCCTCGGCCAGTGGAAGGACGAGCGTTATCCTGAGGTCATTATGTAAGAGCAGGACTGCAACGCTGGCAATTCCTTAGCTAAGAAGAGGATCAGGTGTGCACAATCTCTGGAGAGAGGAAAAAGATAGAACCGACCAGAGATGATTTTCACAAAGAACACGGCAGAGATGGTAACGTGAGAGATGTGTGTTGCAGATTGTGGCCACGAGGGCTGTATTGCTCCGGCACGTGTGTTGTGATAATTGATTTTTAATGAAGCGAGGATCTCCTGTGTATTTCCAAGACTGGCCCTTTCTCTAAATAGAGTCCTAATTATCTGCATTAGATATTGCATGAAAAAGCAGCAGCCGTACACCAATATCTTTGAGATACTTTGCTTTAAACTGTATTATTCCTCGCACATTGTGTGGTACAGGGTTAAACAAAACACTCACAATAAACAAGCTGGCTTTCCTCCTTCATTCGGACAATGCAACTGCAAGTTAGGGCCACTAGATGTTGCTGTACATGTTTTAGATTCTGTGTTTGAGCGTTGCCAAAGGGGCAGCCTGGACATGCATGTTTCATTCATTCAGCCTGCAGCGTGGTTCGACAGCAGAATCATTCCCAGAGCAGCACTCAGTATCACGCAGCTATGCAACAGAGCGCACTGGAGGTTGATATTTTAGTGTCACAGTTTAAAGAACAGTTGAAATCACTTTCTGCCATAACTTTTGCCAGTGTCAGAACCTTCAGAAATGCAAACACGACTCCCACTGAAGTCTCTAGGGTTGACTTGACGGGATGAATGTGGGCGGCATCTTCGCTTCATTAAAAAATATGTATAGCTTTTTCGCAGTTAACTAGATATCTTCTGGGAAAAATGAAGGGGATCGGCATTTTACCCCCCACCACCCCTCGTTAAATCTCAACAACTCTGGAGCTGATCTTAGATGCCTATATGCCGTGAATTATGCTATCAGTGTGCAGCCTCCCCTTCACTTCAGTCTGTTTGACTTCTTCACTTGTCTCCGAGTGTTCCGCCTCGCTATAAGTGGCTGTGTGACTGGGAAATCATTTCAGTTTCTGTATTTCATGATCTATTTCCATCTCTCAGACAAACTCTGCTTCAGTCTCGCAGAGCTTAGAGAG